AAAATGGGTGGTATGACGTGTAATTAAACTTGAGAGGCATCATCATATCTGTTCCTCTCACATTCAACTTTATTTTGATATTAAACATTATCCACATACATGATCAAACGTTTATGGTGTATCAGCGGACATAATTAAGTTTTTCATAGACTACTTCATAGACATATACACAGAAACTGGAGTGGAAAAGTTATTTTAAAACATTTGGTGAATTTCAGTACTTTGGAGTTTACTGACAGAGCCAGACAAAAGTTTCCAACATGGCCCGCACATTCTTACGTCACGGTCATTTTTATACATTAATGTGTGGGTGAAAACCAGCTTTTTGTGCATAGGCAGCGTTCATACATGAGGCCCCAGGTCTCTTAATGTTTGCTGTTCACACATATATGTGTTTAATGGCAATAATATTGAATATTAATACCAGTATTTGCTAAAGAGTGGGGTGATTGGGCAAGCAGATCTTGCAAACATGCAGTGATACTGTGGTTGGTCTTTGTTTAGTGTCCTCGTTTGGGATCCTCGTTCTTTCTTTTATTAAACCTAAATATGCAATATGGGTGTTTTCATTGACCTAGCTTTCCAATTCTGAAGACAACAATAGCATAGTATAAAAATCATAATTGGTGGTCTTGCAAGCTACCAGCTAACTAAGCTAGTAGTAATTCCTGAGCTACTGCAATCACACCCTCAATCAAATCACTATACTATGTTGTGCTGATTGACAACACAAATGGCAAAACATGTCAAGATGACAACACCTTTTTTGTATAGTTTGGTATATTGATTTTCAAAACAAGCAATCACAGAGACCTGGAGGTAATAAAAAGTTGGCTTCTTAACACTGCTGCCAAGTATAAGAATTTTGGCAATATCTGTGAGGGTGACAAGGTGACAGTCATATGTCAGCATTTTTGAAAAGCTCAGTTTTCCCTTTCCATATCACAAAGAGAGACTGACATTGTCAGAGGAAGAGAATTTTCAAAATTTCAACATTTAGGGATGGACTATGCCTGTTTAGTGTGGGCCACACGGAAAGAAAAAAACATTTTCTAATTAATTCGCAGGGCAATAGACATGGTATCAGAAAAATAAGGTAGAGGAGGAGGGATGTGGAGGCGAGAAAGAAGTAAGGAGTACAGAGGTATAAGAGGAAAATATGTGTTGATAGAGACGAAAGGAAATGAGGAAAGAAGACAAATGACAGAATGTAAGAATCCAAGTCATTACAAAAGAGTAAAAAGCTGGGGATGCAATAAGAGAGTACTAATGGATAGAGAGGGAGGGAAAACAGCAGGAGATGAAATAAGGAAGGTGGAGAGGAGGAGGTGGTACTAGTGTTAGCAAGGCTGTAGAAAGCGCTTTAACCTTTATAAATATTGACAGAAATCTGCTCGCTGAGAAATGTTGTGCAATCACAACAAAAGCTAGCTGAGCAGAAAAGAACAGATGGGGGGTGGGGTTGTGGGTGGGGGGTTAGGGGTGGCAGGTAGGAAGCCAAGGACACACTAACGGGTCATGTTTTCAATGAATGAGTTCCAAAGGCACTAAACACCAGAGGATTACAGCGAGTACATAAGAGGACACAAAAACTGCATCAGTACCCAGCTCTACTAGCTACTGGAACATCTCTCTGGATGTTTGTTCCTTTCTTACCTTCCCAACACCGTTTTATTTTCTCCAATCAGCATTTATACCTCATCTTTACTCCTCCTTCCTCCATTCCATCTAACTGCCCTCTACCCTCCATCTTAATTTTTTTGTCCTTTTTCAACCTTGTACTTTTGCTTACAGTCTGCGTATGTCCCTTTAAAAGGAAAACTCTACACTTGCACCATCTTAAGCACTATTCTGACAAGATAAGCTTCACCTGTAACTGGAATACTGGGCCATTAAAGATGTGATTGATACATGAATGATACATGAATGAGTATGACAACATATTGCTGTAAAAGGGAGCCATATCCAACAGGTTAACAAATGCTTTCACATTCTTCCATCACAACATGCAGAACTCAAACTAGGATCTCAAGGTCACTGTAAAGCTTCTTGGCTGCCTAGATGACCTCCTCTCTAAATCCTCCACTCCTCCACATAGGGCATGTCAGTAGCGTTTATCAAAAATATCCCACGTTAAGGTCATGAGGTCTCCCCTCAGTGAGCTGAAAACAGTGTGACCCTAACTTCCCTCTCTCTTTGAGTGTCTTTGAGGCCAACAAAAAGTGCTTTTCCATGACCGTCCAAACTCTGCCCATACCCAAATCAGGTCAATTTTATTTTTTGAAAGGCCTCTTTCTTTAGCTTGAAGGCTTCCTTCACCACTGGTTTGACCTTACTGCACATTTAGGTCTTTTACTTTTGCTTTTCACCAGAGAGTCCAAGACATACAGCTGCAGATTAGCTACGAGTGCAATCACTGTACAAGCAGCAAAAACATTACAAGTAGTGCCACGAGGAAGGGATGGGAGTAAAGGGAAATCCAACTCTAATCATAAAAAATAAAATAAAAACCATTAAGAAATATCAATAACCAGCCTCCTTACAGAAATCAACTGATTGAATTAGTGCTAATTGAATAAATTCAATTCTGATCCACCCATGTCACTGTGTTGCAACATACCAATCTATCAGTTGCAGTGTGATTGTTTTTGTATGTGTGTGTGAGGAAGATGCAATTGAGCAATAAGGATACCTGTCAAAGGAAGGCTGCATTTGTCCAAAATCTTGTTTTTCTCTCCCTAAAAGAGATTGTTGGTTAAAAGAATGACTTAAAGTGACAATTTGGCACATTTTATGTGGATGTCCAACTAGTGTTGATGGTAAATGCAGTTTGCACTGATGCAACAAATTATTTTGTGTACTGACTACAGCACTACTGGAAAAATATTCTGTGAACAGATGAAACCAAAGTTGAGTTGTTTGGAAACACCTAGATCAAAACCTCATCCCAACTGTGAAGTGTGGGGGAGGGGGAATCATGCTTTGGGGCTGCTTCGCTGCCTCAGGGCCTTGGAAGGGTAGCCATCATCGACGGTGAAAGTGTGAGTGACTTTTATTTTGTTGTGTTCATTGTCTGTGTGCCACGTGCCTCCTTGCTGAAATATTCAGGAAACTGATTGGCTGTGATAAAATAGGAAAGCAAACCCACTAACGACCAAAGTTAACTTTTGGTTTCAGTCAATCACTCCTGACTGGAAGGTGGGAAATTGTAATACTTTGTATGTTGAACAGCCAGTCCTCAACTATAAACAAATAAACCAAGATATCTAAATTAATATTACAGGAACAATATTAGGCGTAGATGGTAAGAACTGTATGGAAGGAGTATTGACCTGCAATTTTGGTCATAGGATAAAGGCTCAGTAACTGTATGATGTGTTATATCAATCTATCACAATGATTAGCTAGATGTAACTTGCAATCACCAGGGAAGGAAGTGAACTGAAGATAAGCTACACTAACACATTTCCATTATTAAGCATGGCATTACAATAATTAATCAAGTGTATTCACAATTACTGCATGATTAAAAGACAAGGAGGAAACCTTACAATCCCACAGGGCTCCTCTACTGTATAGGCTCAACCATTATGTATTTAACCAAGGCCATCAGGAGTGCCAGGAACAATTAAAGAAGAGACAAAAATCTGCAGTTAAAACTAATCAATTGGTATGTGCATTGATTGACTAGCCCATTGTGTGTAGTTACTGGCCCAGACGGGGGTGGTGCGGGACCTAACTCCTAGCTTGGTAATTTGTGCTTCAAAAATCATGGATAAAAAAACAAATGTGGTGCTGAAAAATTTAAGGAAAAAAAAGAAGTCGCTCTATGCAGGTGCAGCAAAGTGCCTAAACATTATAAACTTGTAATTTACTTGCTTTGGTGCTGCTGCTACTTCTACCGTTACATCAGTCGCAAATGAGGTAGCTAACGGTCTCACAGGTAGCCTATCAACTAGACATTAACGAGACATCATTAATATGGCTTACTGTTTTTTGTTTGATTATCTTAGAGACTAACCACAAGTCAGATCTGTTTCTGGGTTAATGAAACAAAAACTACTGATTTGATAAATGTGGTCCCGTAATTCTCAACCTGCTGTAGCCACTATTTAGTTGAAACGATTCTGTTACTACGACTGCTGCCTAACTTGCCTAATGGTAAAGGCGCCCCCTGACTAGTACTACTAGGACTAGTATATTATTAAAGGTATGTTGTTTGACAAATGTGGATTATTTTTAACAAAGGCCTAGAGGCCTTAGACAGCTTCTAATATTAAATGTAGGCTATTTATTGTACTCAAGGGCTCAGCTTAGGTGGTTATTCTACTTGAGAGCTAGACAGGTGTAGTTCTAGTTTTGAAAATGTATGGCTCATTTTATGTTGTACTGTACTTGCCTGAAATCCTCAAGAATGCAGAAATAAAGGTCTAGGTAAAGACCCAGAGCCCGCAACAAATGCTTTGTCCAGAGATTGGCCTCACAGACAAATTCCCAAGCCAATTTTTGCCCCAGTCCACTCCTGCCTTTAACACCTAAATAGGCTAAAATTGCACGTGTATTTAGTTTAGTGTAGTGGGTTACTAAAACACTGATGTTTTGTTTTTGAACAATGTTGATTTAACTTCAAAGTCAAAGGCATTCACTTATATGTACAATATGTCCCAAAAATATCTCTCTCTTATTAAAATATAATACTAAATAAACCACTGGTACAAAATCCTTACATACCCCCAAAGGTCTTTTACAGGCCAGGGGTATGGCCCAGCCATAGCTTACTCATTATATCAATTAAATTACAGATGATGAAGTCTCTCTCTCTCTCTCTCTCTCTCTCTCTCTCTCTCTCTCTCTCTCTCTCTCTCTCTCTCTCTCTCTCTCTCTCTCTCTCTCTCTCTCTCTCTCTCTCTCTCTCTCTCTCTCTCTCTCTCTCTCTCTCTCTCTCTCTCTCTCTCTCTCTCTCTCTCTCTCTCTCTCATTGAACAAAGAGATAAACCCACCTTTTCTGTGATGATCCGATCCACACACTGCTTCCCTGTCAAAGGAAGGCTGCATTTGTCCAAAATCTTGTTTTTCCCTCCCTAAAAGAGATTGTTGGTTAAAAGAATGACTTAAAGTGACAATTTGGCACATTTTATGTGGATGTCCAACTAGTGTTGATGGTAAATGCAGTTTGCACTGATGCAACAAATTATTTTGTGTACTGACTACAGCACTACTGGAAAAATATTCTGTGAACAGATGAAACCAAAGTTGAGTTGTTTGGAAACACCTAGATCAAAACCTCATCCCAAATGTGAAGTATGGTGGAGGGGGAATCATGCTTTGGGGCTGCTTCGCTGCCTCAGGGCCTTGGAAGGGTAGCCATCATCGACGGTAAAATTAATTTCAAAGTTTATCACAAAATTTTGCAGAGAATGTAAGGCCATCTGTTCGCCAATTCAAGCTTAACAGAACGACAACCCAAAGCACAGAAGTAAATACACCTTCTGATATGGCCCAGTCAAAGTCTCAACTTCAACCCAATTGAGATGCTGTGGCATGACATCAAGAGAGTGAGAGTCTGTCAAGAACAAATTCTGTTCTCATTTTCATTTTCACATAGTTAGAAAATGGCATTTTAATTTTGACCTAAAAAAACCATGAGGACATGTAAATGCAATAGACTGGGGGCGCTGTTTTGCTAACTGCATTTGAATAAAGTCAACTTTAGAACATGTTAAGCCTTTGAAAATTAAATGTGGGATTACATTTTCATTTTCAACTTTGCATGATATTATGAAATTAGTCCCCTATACGCTTCCATATATTGCTGAACTGAAACAGTTTTGTGAAGAGCGATTCCTCACGTTGTTCAGGTCTGATCTGCAACTACAGAAAATATTTAGTTGAGGTTATTACTGTAAAAGGAGAGTCAATCAGTGATTAAATCCAAGGGTTCACATACTTTTCCCACCCTGCACTATGAATATTTACACGGTGTGTTCAATAAAAACCTGTTACCACATAATTGTTTGTGTGGTATTAGTTGAAGCAGACTGTGTTTGTCTACTGCTGTCTTAGATGAAGATCAGATCACATATTATGGCCAATTCATGCAGAAATCCAGGAAATTCCAGAGGGTTCACATACTTTGTCCTGCGACTATAGTTCGCATTGAGGAATTTATTGTTCCTATGGACTATATTTACCATTTACACTGACTGGACATCCACATAAAAAGGTGCCACTTATCACACAGTCAGTCACTGTGTTAATACTTTCAGGGCTCTGATGCTACCTCAGAAGCACACATCATACATCACTCATTTGCCCCCTTTCCCATCATGAATGAAAACTGGCTTCAGGGAAGTAAATTTATGCTCACCTGCTGCACCATCTGGACTCTAGCTGGGCGCCAGACAGTCTCCCATTAGCAAAAAACAGCATGTGTCTATGAATGTAGAATGTTACGATGCCCTTGCATCATTGGTCTGGACTTTCCAAAAGTAAACCAATTTAGTTCGATAGCCTAGTCCTATTGTCAGAAGCCCTGTGGGGTTGTTCATCTCTGTGTGCAGCACCAGTCTAACTAATCAGCTGTTCCCAATACACTCAATTCTAGACTTGTATTCAAATTAGCTAAAGATGAACAAACAGGAGATGGTTTGTGCACAGAATCTCATCAGGGTGAGCTGGCACTCTCTGGTAAAGAGGCATTAAGCAATCCATTAACAAAATTATCCTTAATCAGTTATAACACTGACACTCATTATCGTTTCAAGCTGATACAAGGTATGCTGGTGAAAGTACTAGCATGGGAAAAGAAAATTGCCAATTCAACCTGGTAATTTCTAAAGGCAATGCTGGTTGGGAAAAGCATGGTAAAAGCTCATGCTCACACACACTCACATACACATGTATACATACCTTAGCTGAGTGCTCCATGGTGACTACCACTTTGGTTCCAGCGCTAGCCACCAAATCCATGGCTCCTCCCATTCCCTTCACCATCTTACCCTAAGAATGGAAGATAAAAAGTTTCAGTTATTCTATTTTTTCAAGGGTGGACAAAACAACAGAAACACCTTACAATTTACCAAAATCCAATCCAAAACTGCCATTAACTATGGCCTTAAAAGTACCATACAGATTGATAAACAACAAATAAGTAATGTATCTCCAAAAATCTACTCCTCCTTCATTAAATATAAATAAACGTTTAAAAGTTGCTTTGTGTTTGTCTCGCTTTGTCATCAATGCAAGGACATCGTCTAATGCTATGTGTTTGGTAAAGCCTAATTTTATCCCTGCACTAGTAAGACTCTGAAAACTTCACAGACAGACAGAACAGGAGGAACAGATTAGAAAGGATTTTCAGCAATTGTATTATGGGTTACTGTAACATTTTACTTTCATTGATTTCATTAACTAGGGGAGGCAGTGACACAGCCAGCCAGATTCAAAACACTGAGATAAATGCAAAATTGACCAAACAGGTTATAAACTATTCAAGTTTAATAAATCTAAAACATGTATTTAGAAGAAAGAAAGAAGGTGAACATACACAGTGGCCATTATAATAATCCACTGCATTGCGAAACTCAATGCAACTTTTAATAGGGACCGTTGCTCTGGTAGAAAGTAGTTTTTGTAGAAAGTAGCTCCAAAAAATAAATAAATAAATAAACTGTTAGCAGCGTGTTCAGTGGATAATACAGAGTAGCAGCAAGTCTGTTTCTGAAAAGCAAAGTTGCTGTTAAATTTTTTAAATGTAATATTTCTATGCTGTGAGCACCATCAACTAAATTACATTCTCCACCTTTGTATTTGGGCACTGGCAGAAATGTCACAGACAGAACTTGAGTAAATTATACCAAAGCTTCTTGCAAGAATAGAAACCAATGGAATGAGTGAAAAAATATGCTTGTTGTAATTGTGTGAACCAAAACTTTACGTGTACATGTGCTAAAATTCATGGTTCTGGTTACTATTCAAGCAGCAGCATTTTCAGTGTGTATTTAATGGTCAAAGGAATTAAAGGTCACACTAAGATGCAGCAACAGTGGGTGTTCAGTATTCAGTGTTACGATGAATTTAGTACCATTATAAAGAGTAAGAGTGGTGCTGTGGTGGGCCTTCTCTACAAATCAGAAGGCTTTCACAGCCATATCTTTAGAGAAGATAGCTGGGTGTTAGCCTATATTAACTACCAGGTCTAGTAGTAACTGCTAAAGATAAGAAAACCTTTATTTGTCCCACAGTGGGGAAATTGCGGAAAAGCTTAAAGGCTTGTGTTGATAGCAGACAACAATACTTACTAGATAATGAAAAGTAAAAAAAACCCCATTATCGTTGCCAACAGTATCAAGCAATGGGGCCAAAAACCGCAGTTCCTCAAATGGCCACTTGAGGCTGTCTCCAAAAGCGAGTCAATCTCCATGGAACCCCCGTGTTAAAATATCCAACTTTATAGCAGAAATAAATATGCTTACAGCCTGTTACCTGCTTTAGTCTCCATAGCTAATTTCCCATTCATGACAACTGTACAGGGGTGAATTTCTATATAACTCACCCGGGAAAGTAATTGCATTGGCTTAAAGTAATGAAAATTAAAGGCAGGTTGCTTTGAGTGACAGGTGGGTGCCGTCACAGGGGGCCAGCTGCTAGGTGGTTTCAGTAACCAGGCTTCATCTCTAACAATTTTTGGATAAGCAGGAGTCAGGGACTGCCAAGACGATGACGGCCTGAGCCTCCCACATTGAGCTGCATAACAGCTCTTAAGAAACCCTTGAGCGACAACACATCCACTACATCAATGTTTTATATAGTCTATGTTATCAAGGGAACACTATCTCTTATTTAGACAGAAAAAAAACAATGACAATTGCAAAGAAATGTCAGAAGAGCAGAGAGCAAGCAGCAAAGCATCTGCACTGAAGAAAACTTCAAGAGGCATCCCTTCAATAGCCAATGGTGGTTTTTCTTTGTCTTTTAAACGAGCTGCTTAGATAATATCAGTAAACTAGGTGCTAAATGCTCCTATGTAGATACCCTGTGCAGTATAGCTTTGTCTAGTTGCAATTCAGTGAGTCACAATGAGAAGTCATAGTGGGTTTTATGTTAGAAAAGGAGCAAAGAAAAGTACTTAAGCAATTTGAAAGATCATCACAGCAACAGAACTGCCATCTGAGTGAAAAACTGTCTTCTAGTCCCTCATTGTTCCCAATAAGGAAGGTTTCCAAATACGGAAGGCTGACATGCAGATATGGCCACAGGGTGACGGCTGAGTAACTGAATTAAAATCCCATTTGCTCATCAATCATATGAAGAGCATGCTTTTCTCTCTGCTCGATAACCAGAGGATATACATGCCAAATGTGGTGCATCATAAGGATACTGTCTGCCTCCAGGGATGCCAGCTGGGTGGAGAAGATATCAACAGAGAGCGGAAAGAGGGATGGGAGAGGGGAGGTTGAGTAGAGGAAGTAGGGAATAGTATAGACTGAGGATATGGGAGAGGCTGCATTAATTTCATATACTTCACTGTATCATATAGAACACCAATTGAAAGTGGCCTATTGTAACAGCTCACATAGCATCCTTACATAAACCACCATAATCTATGTTATTTCTAAAACACCCATTTTCCTTCATGTTTTCATTCAACATACAGTGTCTCTTAAGATACTCCAAAAGGAAACAGAGTTCCTTTTCACTCTCTGACCTGATAGTTGCAAGTCTGGATTTACAGCTGTGTGAGCCAGATACCTGCTTATGCACTACACCTAACTAGGCTGCTGTTAATTAAAGAGGGTGTCTGTATTTTTCACTTTTTTAAATTAAGCATCCGTGTTAAATTACCGGTTGATTATGATCAATAAAATAGTCAAAATCAATAATGAACATATGCGTGAAATTACAAACCCCCCACAGTAAAAATGTTTTGCTGTGGGGGTTTATGGCAAGTGAATAGGCAGGCATCGAGTGACTGGAATTGTTGTAGGCCAATTATTTTGAATGAATGCTAGCTAGGAAAGGAACTGATGCTGCTTCAGTGCCTGTGTTGCATCGCAGTGACAGCAGCCAAGCATACAGGAACAACAATCCAGCGTGCGTGCGTGTGCGTGTGTGTGTGCGAGCGTGCGCATATATTGGCTAATGTCTCACTAGCATTTATGACCTTGTTATGTAGAAGACACTATAATAAAGTAACATTGCTGAGTAGACTTAAGCTGATGATACACGGGGCAACTTTTGGAGCAATATTGCTGGTGGCAAGTCCGACTATGTTTTGAACGGATAGCGGTGGTGCAGGGAGGGTGGCGGAGTGATGGGGGAAGGGGATTACGGTAGTAATCTTTACTCATTACCATTGACAGCAACATTGCCCAGCACCATTGCTCTAAAAGTTGCTCCGTGTATCATCAGCTTTACAGGCTGGCATGGGCTCTGTTGCTCACTAAGCATTGTCAATGACCTAAATTGCTGGGAGGATTGGCATTTGCTTTCCTCTGATTTACTGTGGTTAACTGAGCCTGCTTTGATCTAAACTGCTCCATCTGCAACTGTGTGACGAAGCTAATGACCTATTACATCTTGCTCACTAAAGTGATTTCATACAATCATGAATATGATATATCAAACTTTTCGTTGGCAATCTCTTAGATTATTTTTGTCTGACTAGGTTGAAGTCTTAATATTGGAGGCATCCCAGATTAAGAGAACGCTAGTTTGCCTAATCGATCGTTTCTGTTGAATATGGAGGTTGCCATGGCAGCTGTCTTTTTATCAGCAGAACCTACAGGAAGGCACTTAAAGTGAACTAATATATTGCTAAGGAAAGAACTATCCTCTGCTTAAGTCACCAAAAAGAGCATGGGTAACTTAATTAACACAGCTTTGATGAAATTAACCTTGCTGGTGTGACAGAAGCCCCACAGGTTTTAAATTTCCTCCCCATTTGTGTCCAGTTGACTGCTGTAATCTCAGCAGCATGGGGGCACTGGCACACCTGAAAGTGTGTATCTAGACACAATTCATTAGCAGAAACACATAAAGACATGAAAATACGTTGTGAAACATCTCTGTTCTAAGCAGTGACAACTATTGTTCTACTGCTCAAATAAATCACACAAACATATTCATACAAACTGTTGTACTGTTGTATAATCTATTACAAAAGACTTCTATTCAAATGCGCACAATACATTAAGCATGGTAATTCAAAGGCACTTCTATGTTAACTTTGTAGTTATTTATTTCATGACTTCACATTAGAGTCCGTAATGAGAAAATCTCCTTACACTAGTTCCAATAGATGTTACTTTTTCCTCTGGAAACATCCATTTTATTTTTTTACTAGCTTACTGAACTAATCTCTTTGAAATTAATCCTTGCCAAAGGCAGATATACAGTAGGCTACCCATATGCAAATTAAATAGGCATTACAGTAGATGTAAGCGATGGAACATCCATTCATATAATGGCTTTAGAAGTGAGAGATAATGTAGAGAACTGCAGGAGGCATTATCAGTGGTGCAGAGCCAGAGATAACACAAGAAGTCTTAAGTTAAAGCTCTGCTGAGATGACGCCTATCATAACATGTGAGAGCAGAGACAATGACACAGGCAGTCCAACCCAACCAATAAGGTTTTCTCAGTGAGCCACCAATGTCACACAACCAAGGCTATTTATGTAAGGCTTATTCGGCATTTTATAAAGGCAAGCATGGATCAGCAATGAACCTACAGTAAAATCCTTTCATTCTGTGATTTCCGGCACATACAAAAATGGTGGTCTTTTTATACTTTATCAGGCACCAGCAGGTATTTCAAAGAGGTCGACAGGCGACAAGAAACACAAAGCACACAAGAACATGAAGGTCACCAGTGTATTATACAGTGAGTGCCTTAATATAAATCCCACAGTTTAACCACCAATGAATGGGCCCTTATCTCAGTTCAAATCTCCTCTTCTGGATCCCAGCAAGCAAACACAAAATACTCTTTTTGAGTTTCAATATAAAAGTTGGTGTGTGTCATTTTCACAGTCCGCCAAAGAGGGGGATGGCCCAACAATTTTACCCCGGTGTTAATTTCAGACTGTGATTGTAGGTCAAGTAGTTGTTCAAAATGGCAGCTCCTCTAGTGTTCAAACTAAGAAGTGCAACGACATCTAGTGTTTAAACTAGGATGTGCCATGTACAGTACATGAATAAAGCTTAGGCAATTTTCTAGTTTATTTTAATAAATTCACCATGGGCCATTTAAAATCAGTAGTTAGGTCACCCCTACACTGATGCCTGAGAAAGGCATTTTGGGAGGCATACTTTGACTAGCACTGTATTTCTCTTACTAGGGCTGCTTGCATCTTTTGTGTTGCCATGACAACAGAATACAATTTCCTCATTTGTTGTGCAAGTGTTCACTTTCCAGTCAGTGGCAGAAACACCACAGAAAATGACCCCCTTCACAATCCAAGAGTTCCCACCTACCAACTGGCTTCCTTTCTCTCCCCCACAAATTCTCTGACAAGTCTGATACAAATGGCTCTCTATTTAATAACATAGCGACAGACCACCGCAAGCCTTTGTTACCCAGACAACTAATGACAAGAATCAGAGGGACTGACAGGAAGACAATGGACACGGTGTTCAAAGTAACCAGAAAACATAACACATGAATGCAGTTCAATCTATTGCTAGACATTAAAACCAACATTTTCATTCCCAACAAAGACTAGTGATCTTTAAAATACAATAGTGGTAATGTAATTATTACATTTACTGCAATCCTAAATTATGCAAAAAAAACCTTTTATTTAAAAAAATAATTTTATTATCTTTCATAGAAAAAGAAAATGAAACAAACAGCAGCGCTACATGGTAAATAGACCGGTAAAAACTTTATGGCTGATGTGGCGGCCCACTAGGTTTGTTCAAGTATGCCAACTTGCCAGTAAACCACTGGTGATAAATATAGAAGAAAAACTAAGCGTATAAACATTTACACAGACACTGAGAGGTTTGTGCTACTACAACTACCTAATAGGACATAGTTACCATGTCCTGTTTGTGATACAGCAGGTAAGCAAAGAAAAGAAAATCCACAATGCTCTTAAGCAGCTCCTTCATTAAAGTTACCATTAGGCCTTATCATGAGCACTTGAGCGAGTAACTGCATTTTAATAGTCAGTAGCTCGAGCTATTGCAGCACAAACTGCAGTTATACTGAACCTCCAGGGGTTTGTAATACATGTCGGATGTAGAATTTGTTTTCTCTTTTTCAAGTCAACGACTATTAAATTGAATTCTGTTTTATAAAATAAATAGCTGTGTTTGAGTTAACATGATACATTTTTATTGCTCTGGTCAACTTGAATATGTTCAGTGTTACTTCATTGACAATATCTGTTTATTCTGCTCAGAACGCACAAATGAAAACTATGCTGCTCAGTAAGCATTGCATTACATTTACAGCCAAAAAACTCCATGTAAATTAAAGTAAAATATTTTAAAAAGTGTGTGTGCCTCATAGATATCTGAGGTACATTTGACAGGAAACATCAGTGTCTGCATCTCGAGTGAACTGCTGGGTGCAAGACCCCTCTAGCAGTTCACTCCAGCAGCTAAATGATAAAATATCCAAATCCAAAATACCATACTTTATTTAATTATCCCTTTATATCTATCTAATGGTTTTCCAGATGTTTCAGACTGAGAGGATGTGTAAAAGCATTTCAAAGCCCTCATCTGGAAAATGTTCATCTGCATTTTGCATATTAAAATCGTTCAAACTCAACATAATCACGCTGAGAGAACTGCATCCCCAACTCCTACGTACAACATTTCCAATTTCACGCTATGTACCCATCTTTAGATAGTGAATAATTTTCATTAGCACAGAAGGTGGGAAATGTAATTCTCTTCATCCATCCTTTCAAAAGAGGGTACAATGAAGATTGAAGCGTAGGTGAGGACAGTGGTATGTGTGCCTGTGCTGCTGCATTATTTCGCTGTTCAAACTGTCTAACACTAGAATGGCCAAACAAGATAAACCTGCTTCCTTGCTTTTGAATAACAGCTCTACTGCAGACCTTCAATACTCGCATATTGTGTTTAATCAAGCACAGATTAATTAGCAATTAAAATGGACAAACAAGTACAACTGGAGAGGTAAGGAGAAGCACAAATATATTATATATATATATATATATATATATATATATATATATATATATATATATATATATATATATATATATATATATATATATATATATATATATGTGTGTGTGTGTAGAGGAGATGGATCTATAAAATGATGCACTGCCATCCTTGCATGTACACTTCAGTCAAACAGAAAACAGCTAGGGCTAGGGGGGCATTCTGGTTTAACCCTCCCATATTGTGAGTAGGATTTTAATTTCTTGAACTTCTTTAAGTTCTCGAACTTTGTAATCGCTGAGGAGGACTTTGGCCACTGGGGTCTAAAGACCAATTGACCTGATCATGAACATCTGGCAATAATGTTGGCCACCCATTATGCAGTAGCCCTCACTAACACCCGCTACCCCCTCAATCGTCTGGCAAACATATCCCAGTGCTCTTGAATAACAACAACCAAGGCCGCACCTTTGTGAATCTGTTTTAACTAAAAGATGTTTGTTTTTGAAAAATACTGAAGGCGATGGTGCATGCGATAAAAAAAGAGATAACACAATAAAGTCTAAACTGACTAAATATAAATAATACACAACAAGAAATAAAAACAAATATTTTTACCCACAACAATGAATAAACTTTAAGATCTTTTTAACTTAAAATTTTAACAATGAGGTAAAGGTGAATTAGTCATCCAGGTATTCAGATTAGAGACAAAACAACAGCACTATGTAGTTGATCAACAGAAAATGAATCTGCAACTATATTGATAATTAATTATATATGATATGAAACTGAATATCTTTGAGTTTTGGACTGATGGTCGGACAAAACGAGCAATCTGAAGATGCCACTTTTGGTTGTAGGAAATTGTGGCAAGATTGAAGACAACTATTTTGTGTTGTAGACACAATGATTAATGGAGAAAATAATCAGCAGATTAATTGACAATGAAAACTAATTTTCACAGATTCCATTTTGTAGGGTCGATTTCAAAGCCTCATGTCAAGCAAGCGACATGTGACTGTAAGCAGTTGTAAAATAAAGATGTAGAACATGTAAACTATTAAAATATCATGCAAACCAACAGAACAGCACCACAAGCCTTATATCACCAGAGAATGAACGCCTCTGACACAAACTTCACAAGGCAACATTTGGAGCATGTCTATTGTACTGATGTTTCTGTGTTGCCCCCCTCCCCCCCTTCAGAAAGCATGAATTTAAAATAAAAAGGTAATAGATGTGTGCAATCAATACCAAACTTACTGGGATCATCCAGTTGGCTAGGTCTCCATGTTTTGATACTTGCATGGCTCCCAACATTGTCAGGTTGATGTGACCCCTAAAGAGAAGGACACAACCGAGGAAGACAGCTGTCAACTTCAGAATCAGTTCAACGCATCAACTCCACTCATCAAAACAATGCATATAGTATTGCTACATTTACCCCAGATGCACATTACAAACGCAAAAACTTGATGCTACTTGAGATTCTCACAATAAAACTATGCTTTCACAATAATAACCATCTTCCGATCTCTACTACAATACTACTTACTACTATATCTTCTTACTACAGCTTTGTTTCTAAAATATAATTATATAATTTTGCATATTTACTCTCTGGTTGATGTGGAGGTCTTATCTGCTCTAGCTACCACATTAAATGCCTGTTACATGCAAATGTGCTGTATTAGCAGAATAAATGTAAGTCTAATTCTATGGGCAAGTTAGTTATGTTATTCCTCTATTAATCTTCTCTTTCAGAAAAGAGTTCTGCTAAACAAGGAGGTATCTCAAGTGCCTTTCAGGATTTAAATCTATACAACTGCAAACAACCAATCCTCCTACCGAGCTATGGCCCTGCTGCCTGAAGTGAAAGCCTAAGTATCTTAATTCCTCATTGTTACTCCATTGCATGTAGCAACACATAGCAGGTGTGAGGCCACACACAACACACATACAAAGACTACGAAGTGATTATATTTTGTGATAAAGAAGTACATGTCAAAAGTAGCTGGTATGGTATTTGAGGCAACATGGCTCACAATCCACCATATGTTGTGTTATTCTTTCTCAGCAAGTCTGAAGACTTAACTGTGATCACACAACAACAGACACACACGCACATACACAGTCAGCATGGTTCCGCTTGGTCTCCGCCAGTGTGACTGGACAGCGCTATTTATGAGCACTATTGGATTTCCACTGGGTGGACAAACAGAACTGATGCTCCAGGGTGTGCGGGTGGGCAATTTCAGACAGATGGTGAATCAATAACAATCCGGGACCTTGGGAATATTGGCAAGGCTACTGTCTACTTGTACTGGTGACAGTAGCTGTTTGTTAATATCCAGTGTTACAAACCGTGGTTATGCCCAGGGGTCAAATCCTGTTAATGGTTACAGCTGGCTATTGGTCAGGTGAAAAACGATTGAATTAAGGGAAATCGTGCTGAGAAAATGACATTAGTGTGTTTGTTGTTTTATTTTTTGCATAAACTGCACCAAGAAGGTCATGGAAGTGACTCACAGGATTGTGAAAATCATTTTCAAGTATTAAAAAGCTGTAAATCCAGAAATGTCAGTCATATCTAACTTTCAGTCAGCAAATAAGTTTTCAAAGTGTTGTGGCCTTACCCTCGGATCATGGCAAATGACTCATCACTGGAGAAATAGGCAGCCCCAGGGAGCACAGTGACAGTCTCCTTCCCTGCGGAACAGAAAGGGGACATGTTTCACTTTTTGGCAAAATATTGCATCCTATTGTATCCTATATTATCATAGGATTAAACTTTTTAACAACATGTCTAAAAGCAACACTGATGAACATAATCACAAGAAAGATAAATAAAATGACAAAAAACAAATGAATAAAATAAATTCTATTAAAAAAAAAGATGAATTAATCTAAATAAAATGCATTAAGCATTCATCTAAGTATGTGTGTATATAATGCAGGGAATCAGAAAAGAAAATACAGTAAGTCACATTTTAGCTAAAAAGCTCTCATCTTCCATTCCGTAATTTAGTTAGACCAATGTTTCCACAGCTTTGTTTTATTTTTATTTTTTTTACATATACTGTTCATACATTCATCATTGGGAAGTACTGATTGGGATAAACCTCACCAGCGTTAATCAGGTCTGCATCCACGGCATCCTCTGTGGGGTACGGGCCCTATACAGAGAGAAATGACGATAAACAAGAATGTGCACACATGCAGGCAGTCACAGATCCACTACCACATGTCACTCAGCCTGACCGGCCATGATCTTTCAAGAGACAGACACAATCACATTTTTCTGATTAGATGAGACATTGATTTTCTCAGTGTTCAACAAAGGGAGCAATCCTTTTGAATGGAGAGGAGAAGAAGGGAGGGGAAAGGACATGAAGGTAGAGGAGAGGAGCGGAGCTCTTGGCACTCATAGTTAAAAGAAACTTCGAGAAACAAGGTATTAGCATGCGTCTACATTCTGCTGTCAACACCACTGATTGGAAAGTCACTCCATAGCAGCGGCAGCAGCTTTTGTTGAAGGCTCAGCAAATAATGATCGTGAGAAAGAAAAATAGAAGAGAAAAGTGTCAAACTGCCACAATCTGTTAAATAACAAATCCAGTACATTTCAAATGAGGGCCCCAACTATGAATGATACCACTCAAATAAATGGCTATTCGTCTTGTTACACGCCGAGAGTATAATGCAGTTTAAAACCATTTACTGCTTCTTAAAACGACCATCAGAAAATGTACTGCTCGTTAGTTTGTTTAGTTGAGAGCCAAAGCACTAAAAGAGGGAAAGAAAAGTCTCTGTAGGCATCTTACCAGGCCCAAAATTCCATTTTCACTTTGGAGGTGTACAGTGATGTCTGGTTTTATAAAGTTGCTGGCCAGCATGGGGATACCAATACCAAGGTTGGCTGATTGGCTCTTTGTTAAAGATGCTAACTACTACCATTGTAATCATGCAATGGAAATGAGAACAGCATTCTGTTGAAGGCTGCCTTAACAGAAACTACCATACACCACAGAGTCTCCTTTTCAACCAGCTTAGACATTTTGGTGGACTCATCGTTAACAGTCATGTTGTGTGGACAATGCTCAAACCCACAGAATTTAATTAAAGTCTTAACATTTCCAAGATACCGAATGTGTCATGCTGAATTATAAGTCCCAAAATCACTGAGTGGTTAATCACAGATCAGCCACTCAAAAGTGAAGGCTGCTTTCATGAGGAAGGACAAACGCTATCACAATAACATGTAAAGGCAAAATGCTGAAAAGAAAAAAAAGGTATGTGTATAATAATCAACTGGTACAAAGGCTACAATAATTCATTATGTGTGTTGAAAAGAAAGAAAGACAAGGGACTTCCTGGTAGTTACTGGCCAACACCTGGTTGGTTTTTACTTCTGGTAATTAAAAGCAGGAGCCTAGAGCACATTTTGATTTCGTAATTTGCTCACTGCTTGTATTGTTTTTAAAGGATACCGTACATCCCATCTTCAAACTCCAGAGCAGCTCTGCGAATAATCCTTTCCCGAACAATATCCGAGTCCTTCTTTGGTTTGGGCTTTGCTTCTTGGCTTCTCCTTACTGTACGTTTCTGGAACCATACAGAGATGTATGAGAAACAGGGAGACGGCATCTTAAAAGGTTTTTTCTGGCCGAGTTCAAGAACACAAATGGATAAGAGCTAGTATCTGTGTTTCTACACAGTGGTGGAAATGTTAAACCCTGCTACAATGGCTTAGCGAGACAGGGTTTACACTTTATTATTATAGGATTAATCTAGGGCTGCAGCTAACGATGATTTTAGTATTCAAAGGTTCTATAGATTATTTCAACGATTCATCGATGCGTCGTTTAAGTACTTTTGCTTGGCGGCGGCAGTGCTACAGAGAGAGCTGGAGGTGAGTTAAAAAGGTGCAGCTCCCAGACACCCAGTTAACGAATGACTGTGAGGTTACAACTTACGGCCCAAAAAGGAGAACAACAAACGCATGTGTATACATTTTCAGCTGAGGTCTGCGGTTTACTTTGGCTAGCCTTCAATTAAACAATCATGATTTCAGTTAAATGCTAAAGTTGCTGTTAAATTGTCTGTGGTCTGCTGGCAGAAAACTGGCTGCTTTCTGATCAGATGCTGTCGTGCTGTTGCCAAGGCGACATAAGTTTCGTTTTATGGCGGACGGAAGGTAACATTACAGAGTTATTGTTTTCTTTAGCTTGAAATAATCCCATACTTTGGACACTTTCTTCTTTGTCCCTTGCTATTTTCTCTCTCTACCTCCACTTTTGCAAACAGCGCCATTATAATCAAGTCGTGTTCACAGCGTAAGCGCGTGGTACGACAGTAATAAATGTCAGTGCGAAACAGTGTGCTGCATAGTTATATGGATTAAACGAAGCGTCGATTTTTAGTAATCGATTTAATCGATGAATCGTTTCAGCCCTAGATTAATGGTTTATCATTTTTTTTTATTTAAGCAATTGTTGAATGGAACATGCTTTTCAATACAGTGTTCATGCAAGCTATGAAGGGCCTTGTTTTGTACCTCAATCCTTTTCTCGAAGCCGGCTCCCTGGACAACTCTGTGGACGTAGATGCTGGGTATGTGGATGTCCTCTGCAGCGAAGGTCCCAACATCCACTACCTCCTCCACCTACACACAGACACAGAGTGATGAGCTCCGCCTTCACCTGTAAAATGGCTCCCGACCCTTTAGATTAATGTGAGCAACTGGGAAATAACCTCTACCAACCCAACTATGAAATTTAACAGATTATCCAGGAGGTGCCTGATTAGCTGATAAAGACCAGCAGATTTTTTGGCAATCTTCAGACTAATCTCAATTAATTACTTTGATTTTTAAGTTGTTTTTTTTTTTTTAATAGGCCACTGCTGTGTAAAAAAAGAGTAGAGCAGACTTTTTAAAATTTGTTTCATATTTAATTCTAAATAGAGCTCAAAACAACAGTGATGGTGACGCACAAGCAGACACTTGTTCTCCAGATATTGCCACTGTCATGAGAGGGTAAATATTTGCGGGAGACGGTGCTTTTATTATTTTAGCAACTCTACTGAGTCCAGTGAGAGTCGTCTGTGTACCCAAAGCCAGCTTTGCTGAATGAAAACAGAAGAGCATCATCGGAAAACACTAAGCCCAGGAAACATAGCTTGATCCTGGGATCAAAGGCGATAGAGAGTAGTGCTGCGTTGAGGAGATTGTTTTGGTGTTGGAGGGACTCAAAACTCCCCTATGTGGAATACAATGTTTAGCTACCCATTTTTGTTTTTAGGTCTAGTCCACAAACTCTCTTTTACAAGGTCTACATTTCAGCTCAGCTAACTCTTAGGATCTCAGTGGAGCTGCTACAACATTAGCTAAATATACCCTTATTACTCTCGCATTTAAATATGGCAGCATAATAAGAAAGGTATATGTCTCAGATACCTGCCAAACATTATATTCCTGACTCTGAGACAGAAGTGCACCACCTTTATGTAGAAAGTGTCCAGAAGCAGCAGAAGAGTGTACATAAAGGGTTATTTCTGCCTGACTAACAAGACACAGATGGAAATGGCTACTGATTTAAGCAGAGTCGGGTCAACATGACTGAGATAGAAATCCCATGAATGCATGCACCTGCTCCCTCCTCTTTAGGTAACATTAGGAACTGCTATAAACTGAGTTTACAGCCTCCACTCATACAGGTGTTCAGATTCAGTGGTGGATTCAGTGGTACTCACACATGCTGTACAGCATGTGTGGGCACCACTGAATCTTGCTGCTCATTTTAGCCTGCTCTAGCTCCTAAAATTCATAAGTCTAGCTCATATTTACAGTACGCTGTGCTATTAGACGTAGTGCTCCCTGAGATTTAAAATCAACATAAGAATCAAACTAAGCTGGGAGGGGATCAACAGTAGGCGCTCTTTAAAGAACAGGTTTTCCTTTATCACACAGAAGAGAGTCCAAGGGGGAGGAGGTGCAATTCCTTTCTTCCTCAACATTCTTCAAGGGGGAAAAGCTCTTGAAACGACGAGAGCGCAACCAAGCACCAGGGTTATCATCACGTCTTTGGGGACCAAAAGGTGATTTAACCATGACAACACAATTCTCAGCCTCCCTTCTACGTTTCTGTACTTCACTCCTGTGCAGAGTGTAACCTACTTAATCCATTTACATGGAGGGGCAAGCAGCCGTTCAAAGCAAATTGAATCTCTCCTTATCTCCACTTCCTCCCTCAGCACTCAGCGCTGACTGAGAGGAGTCAACGGCTAAGAGTGGATCCCATCTTAGCGTTGTCATGGATACACAGGTTTTGGTCTGTGGTGAGCAAGGGGCCACTCAGGACTGTAGAGTGATTTTAGATTCCTTTTCTGGTTCTCTAGGTTGGGTTATGGTAAACCTCTGATCTGTTCCATGGTGAAAACAAGGCCATGCAAGATGAGACTGGTAGCGCAAGAGAATTGATGCAGCAGTCCCACACATCCACCCACATCTTTCTGGGGGCTCGATCTGTCTTTTTTGAGAATGATGATTTTCATAGACAACTTCATCAAGCTCATCAAATCAGAAAACAATAACAGGCTGTGGGGGCAAGGGAATCACTACAAATATTTTGTGGCATGAATTTCAAGACTTAAGATGCACAAATTTAATTAACAGTATCAATCCCTGATTTTGACTCTTCGTCAAATAGCGTGCTCCTCAAAAACCAGCGACATGAAAGAAAGTAAAAAACAAATCACACCTCAGGGATGGGTTTCTCCATGTCCGTTTGTTGGTCTCTCATACACATGCAAAAAAACTCTGTATTTGGCTCAATTTTCAATTAGCCTTCTAAAGCTAAGTCACAGCACAATAGCAAGCTCATGCAATTTAAATGTGCTGTGTACCTAAAAAAGCTTTTGTTCCTTTCATCTAGGTCATGTGTCCCGGCTGCACCGGTGCCCAGATGCAGTTCAGACAGGAGGTTCAACGGACGAGGATGGATGAAGCATTAAAATACAATAATAAAAACACACAAGAATAACACATGGACACACATACACACACGCAAATGAGCAGGTGTGTGGAGCAAGCAAACAGGCACACGCATAGACACACGTATTGATATTCCTGTATCTGTAGAACAATTTTCACATCAATGAGAGCTGAGCAAAGCATGAAGTGAGCTGGCAGGAGGATAGAGGGAATCAAAGTGCCCTCTGGGGACACAACAAGCGTTCTCTTTTTTTTGTTGAGAGTTTGTGCTTTTTTAGGCTGGGAGCTTTGTCAAATCTTGTTAATCTCAAACTGATTGGATCACAATGCTACCAGATTCCTAGAATAAACCACCAACAGTAGTGTTGCATAAATGTGTCCTCTAGGGTTATTAAATGCTGCAAATATGCCATGCTTATCACTAATGTTTGCTCAACCAAAATGAAAACAAACAGTGGCACATTTACAGTTTGACCACATTTTTTAAGTACATGGAACTAAAATCAATTATGATCAATAAAGGGAAAACACCAGCGTGCTTTCAGACCAGAATTTAGATGCACAGACAACCTTTCAGTATCAAACAGACTCAATGCTCTTCAGCTGAGCTGACTGCACTCATACTGACCATCTGGCCTACGTTGAAATCACCAAATAAACAAACAGGATCATGTGTTTGTGTCTTCAGATTGTATGCACATTATAATTCTATAAGTTCAAACTAAATGTTAGTAACCTAACAGCTCCTAGAGGCTACTATGCTCATTGCACTCTTGGTTTGGATTCACCAAAAAAAAAACAGTAAAAAGTTTTCCTCTAATGATGATTGATATCCGAATGTATGACATTAAACTGGGTCATTTATCATCATTATCTCCTATAATCTGGCAAGTTGTTGTTTGGCTGTTTTTTTTTTTTTAAGTCTTGGGAGCACCGAAATCCCCAATCTTAGTGGGGCAAAAACTTTACTCACATGGATCTTTATGTAACGGACAAAAATTATCTTACTGAAATGGATCATTTGTATTTGAGTACGGAATCGTCAATTTCAAGTTTCAATTTTCAATTATAAAACACAGTGATATAACACAATGGAAAACTGAGATATTACATATTGTAATAGCTTCAGTAGCCAATACTCTAATTGTGGAGCTTCCTGAGATTATAATCCCTTGTGTGTGTTTTATGCGAGTGCTTACTGAGATGCGACAGTCAGGAGAAAGAAGTGGTGTGGCTGCAGGCGACAGAGCATGAGGATGACATCGACACCACACTCTCATTACCCTGTGTATTTATAGCCTCTCCATCTTCCTCCCAGTGTGTGTGCGCGTTTGTGTATGTGGGCACTTGGCCATGCTCTGCCACCACTTTTGGGGCTCAGCTCCGGCTCTATCCTCTAACCCAGAATACTGACAACATGAACAATCTGTTTCCTCTCAGTGGAAGCTTGCCTATGACAGCCTTTATGGTTTGCAGAAAATGTGAGACGGCCAGCCAATGCAAACCCTGGCGACATTATAGCAGCTAAAAATACACATTTTCAAAAATGATTATGTTTACATTTCAAAGCACACTTAAGCCTCCGTGCAATGTGCGTCAGATTCAGATGACAGGCAGTCGTCAGGGAACTTTGAACTTACAGTCAGAGCGTATAACATGCAAATTTGCCATTTCAAACATTCAGGGTGTGCATACGTTAAGCAAATCTGTCTTCCCCTTCTACGGTCATGTCTTTTTATTTATATTATCTGTCCCCTTATCTGTCTCTCTTGAAACACTCCTACATTGACCTACAGTTGATTATTAAACCTTAGCCATACAGTCCGTCACAAGTTTTAGTATCAGTCATCAGGATTTTAAATTAGAGCCTCTACTAAATTGATGTGCAAGTATATTAATGCTGTCTGTCATTATGACGTTTTTCCCTTGTCCACGCATACAAACAACCATACGCACACACTTTTGGGGTGGGAAAGATGTCAAGGGCTTTTACACAGATCTGTCCATTGATATTACAGCAATATGATGGTTATAGCCCAGCCAGGACTCCAATTACCACCATTTGCCCCGGAGAGGTTTCAACTCCAAGTCAAAAAAGTGACACTATAGTGAGGACAATTTTGACTTTATTGAGTGTATTGCCTTTGTAGAGATACTATTACAAAACAAGTGCCATTATTATATTGCCCAATAAGAAATTGTATCCTTATCATCAAATCAATTTAGATTCACAGCCATATATATCCTATTAAATTGAAGGTCACTTTTGCTTTACTGTGGTGATGATCCAGAGAAAGGTTAGAAACAGGATTACCTAGACAACATGTCCGTAAAATATACACAGAAATTACATTCATTGCACATCTTTAGCACAAAAAGGCTAATTCATAAACATATTTAGGCAGGAAATGATGGGGAAAATTAGTGGATTTATAATTATTTACCAACAGTAGCTTGAGTAATGTTGAGTTATTTGAGCGCACAAGCAACACAAATGTAAAATAGTATAACAAATGTAGGCTGTGATAATATAATTCCAGCAGCAAGCAAACAAAAACAACATTATACTGCTGATCTTTGCATGGGCAAACACTGCAGTAAAAACATTAGCTACAACTTGAAGGACCCAATTCATGACTGAAACTGAGATTGTTGCTAGTTTTGTTTTGACA